TTTTTATACTTTACTAGCTTATTTTACATGTTTACGGTTCATATACACCTGGTTCAATTTTAATCAATAACTCTACTGGTAAGATAAATGTAAAAGTTGCCCTCGATATCATTGATAATAAATAAAAAATATATATATATATATATATATATATATATATATATATATATATATATATATATATATATATATATATATATATATATATATATATATATTTGTTATTCTTTTTTTTCAAATTCAGAATTTACTGTACAAAAGTATCAATGATATCGAGGGCATTAAATTAAATATATTTTAAGCTGGCATGGAAATATGTTGAAAATAACTTGTACAATGAACATGACTCACAGAGCACTACTTGTACAATGAACATGACTCACAGGGCACTACTTGTACAATGAACATGACTCACAGAGCACTACTCGTACAATGAACATGACTCACAGAGCACAACTTGTACAATGAACATGTCTCACAGAGCACTACTTGTACAATGAACATGACTCACAGAGCACTACTTTTACAATGAACATGACTCACAGGGTATAACTTGTACAATGAACATGACTCACAGAGCACAACTTGTACAATGAACATGTCTCACAGGGCACTACTTGTACAATGAACATGACTCACAGGGCACTACTTGTACAATGAACATGACTCACAGGGCACTACTTGTACAATGAACATCACTCACAGAGCACTACTTGTACAATGAACATCATTCACAGGGCACTACTTGTACAATGAACATGTCTCACAGGGCACAACTTGTACAATGAACATGTCTCACAGGGCACTACTTGTACAATAAACATGACTCACAGAGCACAACTTGTACAATGAACATGACTCACAGAGCACTACTTGTACAATGAACATGTCTCACAGGGCACTACTTGTACAATGAACATGACTCACAGAGCACTATTCGTACAATGAACATGACTCACAGAGCACTACTTGTACAATGAACATGACTCACAGAGCACTACTTGTACAATGAACATGACTCACAGGGCACTACTTGTACAATGAACATGACTCACAGAGCACTATTCGTACAATGAACATGACTCACAGAGCACTACTTGTACAATGAACATGACTCACAGAGCACTACTTGTACAATGAACATGACTCACAGAGCACTACTTGTACAATGAACATGACTCACAGAGCACTATTCGTACAATGAACATGACTCACAGAGCACTACTTGTACAATGAACATGACTCACAGAGCACTACTTGTAAAATGAACTTGACTCACAGGGCACTACTTGTACAATGAACATGACTCACAGAGCACTACTTGTACAATGAACATGACTCACAGGGTATAACTTGTACAATGAACATGACTCACAGAGCACAACTTGTACAATGAACATGTCTCACAGGGCACTACTTGTACAATAAATGAACATGACTCACATGTAAAATGAACATGACTCACAGGGCACTACTCGTACAATGAACATGTCTCACAGAGCACTACTTGTACAATGAACATGACTCACAGAGCACAACTTGTACAATGAACATGACTCACAAAGCACTACTTGTACAATGAACATGTCTCACAGAGCACTACTTGTACAATGAACATCACTCACATGGTATAACTTGTACAATGAACATGACTCACAGAGTATAACTTGTACAATGAACATCACTCACAGAGCACTACTTGTACAATGAACATGACTCACAGGGCACTACTTGTACAATGAACATGACTCACAGGTTACTACTTGTACATGAACATGTCTCACAGGGCACTACTTGTACAATGAACATGACTCACAGAGCACTATTTGTACAATGAACATGACTCACAGGGTACTACTTGTACAATAAACATGACTCACAGAGCACTATTCGTACAATGAACATGACTCACAGAGCACTACTTGTACAATGAACATGACTCACAGAGCACTACTTGTACAATGAACATGACTCACAGAGCACTATTTGTACAATGAACATGACTCACAGGTTACTACTTGTACAATAAACATCACTCACAGGGCACTACTCGTACAATGAACATGACTCACAGGTTACTACTTGTACAATAAACATCACTCACAGGGCACTACTCGTACAATGAACATGACTCACAGGGCACTACTTGTACAATGAACATGTCTCACAGAGTACTACTTGTACAATGAACATCACTCACAGGGCACTACTTGTACAATGAACATGACTCACAGGGCACTACTTGTACAATAAACATGACTCACAGAGCACTATTTGTACAATGAACATGACTCACAGGTTACTACTTGTACACTGAACATGTCTCACATGGCACTACTTGTACAATGAACATCACTCACAGGGCACTATTTGTACAATGAACATGACTCACAGGGTACTACTTGTACAATGAACATGTCTCACAGGGAACTACTTGTACAATGAACATGACTCACAGGGCACTATTTGTACAATGAACATGACTCACAGGGTATAACTTGTACAATGAACATCACTCACAGAGCACTACTAGTACAATGAACATGACACACAGAGCACTACTTGTACAATGAACATGACTCACAGAGCACTACTTGTACAATGAACATGACTCACAGAGCACTACTTGTACAATGAATATGACTCACAGAGCACTAATTCTACAATGAACATCACTCACAGAGCACTCCTTAAACATTGAAATGACTAACATATCACTACTCGTACAATGAACAGAGCGCTTCTCACACAGTCAATAGCCGTAAGGTTACCTAAATCTCTATACAAATCACTCCTCATACATAACCTATTTACATGCTGCCCTTATCCCATTAACCCATTCCTGCATGATCACTTTGTGAAAAATGGCTATTTTCATTGAAACGCCTCATGCTACAAGTTCAAATTTCTATGAAACTGTAAAAGATGCTTCAATATTCATCAAGCGTGGCACAAATGTTGACTGGACCATAGCCTTTGTCATGCTTAATTTCAAATTTCATGTTACCATGGCAACGAGAGGACATTGCAAAAGTGTTAAAAGTCACTAATCTGCGTTGATTTGTTCCACCAAAACTAATTTCATTGTGCTACAACTTCTCAATTGATTGAGTTTGAGTTAAAGGCTTTTCAGCGTTGGTTACACGTTACCTTCTGACCGACCTGAGGCCAATTCCAAGTCCAAAATCTTCGTGACGATGAGGGGAGCCGCTGTCCCCATTCAAACCCCTAAGCAGAAGGGGACACATTTATTTGAAACCTTTGTTTCACGAAACATTATACTTATTTTCATGTTCAATAGTTACATTTATTCCGTTCATATAAATCTGCATTGAATAGACAACAAATAACAACAAAGGAAAGTGTGATTGCTCAGCGAATAACATCTGTAAAATACAACGTAGGTCATAGTTGCCACATTTGTCTGAAAAATTGGTTTTCTGTTTTTCACACGTGGTCCACTGAAAGTGTAAATATCCATCGGAATAATCTGTTACTTTCAATTAATAAAAATAGCGGGGCAAATATTTATATAACATATTTAAGCTAAATTATGTTTCATCCTTAACATTTTACAATGTCAACAGTTGGTCAATAACCATTATAACAGTGGTGATTCTTTTGAAATATATTATCGATTCAGTTCAACTTGACAACGAAAAATCAGAATAATTTCACTTTAAGATACAATGTCTTTATATATACACACATCATGGCAATGAGTTAAAGATAAGAAAACCTGTGTATATTCCACTGATATTAATACGTGTTTAACCACGACTGTAGACCTTAAAACTGTTGACATGAAAGTTATTGGGATTATTTTGCTTTTTGGAGGAGTATGTAAGTAAATTTCAATGACTGAAGTTTTGTTTTAAGGTCCACTATGTCTCAGATATGTTATCATTTTAAGTCTCAAAAATATTCTATTTTTGGTATCTTGGTACAGTTTCTAAAACTTCAACTTCAAAACTTTATTGCATTAAACAAATACATGTTTATAGCAAGTACAAAATATATAAACACAAACAACACAAGTACATGGATTTTTTCAGAAGAGCCTTACAATCCTATGAATAAAATACAGATCACATTTGATAGGATTAATTTCTTAAAGTGTTAGCATGATATATAAATTTGCTTAAACCATTAATCACAGTTAACGATGATTCAGACATTAAATTGATAAACTTTTGCTTAGTCGGCCATGTGTAGTAATACCGTTTAAGATACTTTTTTCTCAAATCGGAGAACTTCATTAAATTGGCAATTTTCACAAAAACGTTCATTTCTTGGAATATTACGATATCTTCCATATTCTATAGCTAAATTATGAGACGATGTTCTGAATCTAGATAAGGCTATTCTATACTTTGGTTCTTTAATTACACTTAAGTATTTTTCTAAATCAAAAGTATGTTTAAATAAACTGTATGTATCAAGACGAGGTGAATTATTTATCAAGGTATACCATTACGTCATTTGCCATATAGATGAACTATGTTTTGCTTCTTTATCTCTTTTGGTTTGGTATAAATATAGTGAATTTGTATTTTGCATGAAAGTCAAAATATTACTTTGGTTACACTTTGCTACCTTTGTAACACACTACAGCAATTTTAAGTGATATTCTCTTCTTTTACAAACATCTATCATGATTTAAATCCATTATTTAATCATTTTAAACACAGGTTTGACATTTCTAAAGAATTTTATTAAAATATGCATTTCTGAAGCATAATGTGCCTTTTAAAACGAAATATTAAATATGTCAAGGCCTATGATTGTGGGCAAATAGGAATTTCTTTTTTTAAGTTTTAACACATATTAATTCAAATATTAACGTGTCTCTTGTGTTTGTTAACCATAATCATGATGCCTACAAAATATTTTCAAACAAACCAAAATAAATGAAGAAACAAACAGATAGATAAAAAATTAAACAAACAAAAGAATAGAAAGCATTGTTTTATTTCTACATTCATGTTAAACGTTTGTCGATCATTTTTGAAAATTTCTAAAAAGTTATTTTACTTTGCTTTACAAAAACTTTTTAGCTATAACTATTTTACTTTTAGGGAGCTGTCCAAATGGGTGGATAAGACACGAATCGTCATGTTACCATTTCAGCCATGACATGGAACCCTGGACAGGGGCCGATGTAAGAAGCTCGCATATCACTTTTATTAGTTCAGATTGTTAAACCATTGGCCATCTTGTTTATATACCGTTTCCACATAACGTCTTTTGTTACTCGTCGATATCTTAGATAATTGGTATATGGCACATGTATACATACATATAAGGCACATTTTTCGTTGGTAGCGCTTTGAAAGTCGCTATCGTCAGCATTAATGATTTAAAATTGATTTGTTTTGTAATTACCCCATATGTTGCCAATGTCGTTTTTTAGATTGACATAAGAAATATAAATTTGATGTTACCGTAGTTCTTTATTTATTCAAAGATTTGCTTCCATTTTATGCCTTGAAATGTTTGATTTACTTTGTTGTCATTTTAAAACACATTTTACGACAATAATTATAGTTACCATATTTTGAAATTTCTTTTGTAGAATTTGTATAATTTCGTTATTGCGTTCATGCATTTATATTAATTTTGCAATTTCATTGTGTCAGTCTTGGGCTGGAAAGAGCATGATTTAGATATTTTGGACTCTAAAAATGAAATGTACTGAGTCTACAAAAAGCACGATGACGGATGTGTATTTGATATAGATATTTTGGATCCTGAAATGTAAACGAGGCTAAATGTGATATGATTCGAAAATAATGATTTTCTATTGGAACATCACGTGATTCAAACGCTGAAAGTTCATCGATTATATTTTGCAACACATCAAATGGACGTTTGTTATCAGCATAATACTTTCATGTTTGTCTCTGTTTTGTTTTCTTTGTATTTTGTTTGTTTGTTTGTTGTTTTTTTTTTCTTTTTTTCGGGTGGGGAGGGGGTTGTTAGTTTTTAGTTTGAGAAGTCTAAAATGATTTCTACTTTCACATTTGGAGTAAAAATTTCAGTATATGTGTAACAAGATGGGTGGAAAACTGGTTGAAATTGAGACTGCCGCAGAAAATGCTGTGTTGAGGCCTATTGTTGATTCGATGAATCGTATGTCATTTTATCGTGTTAATTTGTGTATTTTTTATATTCGTGATTTATATTGCTTTAATTTAACTAAATACCTTTCAAATTTGTAAGCAAAGGAAATCGTATAAGTAAAAATAATTCTACTGATTCACCTCTAGTTATAAAAAAAAAAACAAAAAAAAACTGAATATTGAATAAATTTACTTTGAAATGAGGACAAATGACTTTAGCATTGGCAGCATTTAATAAATTTACTTTGAAATAATGACAAATGACTTTAGCTTTGGGAGTATTTAATAAATTTACTTTGTAATAACGACAAATTGCTTAAGCTTTTGGATTACTGAATACATTACTTTGATATAATGACAAATTGCTTTAGCTTTGGCAGAAATAAATAAATTTACTTTGAAATTATGAGAAATTGCTTTAGCTTTGGCAGTATTGAAAAAAATTGCTTTAAAATAATGACAAATTGCTTTTGCTTCGGGAGAACTGAATAAATTACTATGTGAGTAATAAAACCAAAAAGTATCTTTGTTAATAAAGTATCAAACTTTTGCGGAATAGATTGTTCGTTGAATAGAAAATATAACATGTATTTATGCCAGGAACTTATTGGATTGGTCTTAGCGATGTTCAGGAAGAAGGTGTTTGGATGTGGATGTCCAGTCGAACTAAATTGAGTACAACTGGATTCGTTAGCTGGAACAAAGGAGAACCAAACAATGGCCTTGGAAATGAGAATTGTGTGACAATAATCCATGGTACAGGCGGAAAGTGGAACGATTGGCATTGTATCGGAGAAACCTTCTATATTTGTGAACAAGAAGGGTATGGACTAATTAATATCTATTTCTCATTGTTAAGTTTGCATAGGGGTCATGGAAAAATATTTTGTTAATGAGTTTGAATTTCCACTTCTAAATTTTCAGAAATCATGAAAACCTTTACGACATTGTTTTATAAAACTATTTTGTCTTTCTTCAGTTTCTGTTACTTTGTTACTTCTGACATTTTTTAAAGTTTTTTTCTGATATGTAAATACAAGTAGCTATTTGTTTTACCGACAGTCACTTTTAATGTAATTCAACAGCTATTATACGAGAGGTGCGTTTCTTGGCAACATAAGTCTTATGACTTCCAGAACCTCACCCCCCCCCCAAAAAAAAGTCAATGCTCATCTAAACAGCGCGCATTGGAATTGCATGAGATATATAATTATATAGAAAAATAATGAATCAAATCTTGTGCTGCATATAATTAAATGTTAGCTCTGAACATTTAGTTTGTAAATTTTATCAGATGAATAAGGATTCTGGTCTTTGTGTACAACTATCTTAATTTCCTTGTTCGTTGAAAGACGTAAGCATGAAATACATATATATCGCTTAGCTATTTGAGACACAATTAACTGCGAAACAATTGGAATGAGGGGAGACAGTGTTTTATACGTCATGCATTCATAGATGAAATGTTAAGGACGGCTTGGACGATTGGCCTTTACACTGCGTCGCTCTTTTTAAATATTACTGCTTTATTTCTGGATCACCTTTTGTATACTGTTTACTGATATCAGTTTAATATATTTGCAGGGAAACGGATGGTATTGTTGGATAATACGTATGTCGTGTGTAAAGTCTGATTTTACTTTATTTCCTAACAAAGAAATACAAAGTTATGAGAATTTTTTTTTGTAGCATTTATTTATATTCTCCATAACCGTTTCGTCTCTTTAATTTTTTGGTCCTGTGATAAATTTACTTAACAGAAACACCTATCGTGTACCTGTTTTCTGTTGTTTTTTGTTGTTGTTGCTTTTTTTTTTTAATTTACCAAGTGATATGAAGATTGTGCGATAACTTGTATTTCGTATCATGTTGATGAAAGGACAACAAAATAATTCAAGCCAATTCATTAAGAATTCTGGTCTTAAAAGTTTTTATTTTTTCATTTTAATATGTACATGTATTCAAATATAAGAAGTTCATCATTTTTTATATTGCAAAATTCCAGTTTTTAAATCTTTGGCTGCTATCCTCGGCCGAATTCTGTAAACAGTATAATTGCTTTTTCTGTGAAAGGACCAATATAATTCTAGTTCCTTTGGGACAAGGCATTACAAGCTTTTAAAGCAGCAGACCTCCGGATTTGTGTTAATTTTCATGTAAACTTTAGAAATATATTTGATAGTGAAATATTGTGAGGTGAATAAAAATAGTTATTTACGTATTGAAATCGGCACTTACAATCAAAGAAAATTACCAAAAAAGGGGTCAACATATGCAAAAACGGCCCTTACTGTGTTAGTAACGCAGTAGAAATAATTCTTAAACCACACATAACATGTAAAATATAACTTGGATCTTGAATGTTTTAACCTTTCTAAAAATGTCAGAACATTTTTCTCGAAATTGATTTTTTAAAAATATTTTGGCTTATCTGGAGGCTTGAAGCTTTAAAAATCTTCTACTATTATTCTGAAAGTGACCCTATGTTCATGAAAGTGTAAAGCCAAGTGTAAATGATGGATGTCCAGGTCAGAGTCAGCTTGGATAGTCTAGTTTATGTGTATAATTAATATACCACAAGACTGAAAGGAAATTTTATAAATATCCTTTGGGAAGAATATTTAGCGTTCAATTGATAAAGGGGTACTCTTCTTACATTTAATTTTAGTTGTTATATTTAACTCTTAACATTTTTCATTACCAGTTATTAGTCAAAAACCATTACAATAGTCCATTTATTTTAAACATACAGCTCATTCCGCTCACAGAAATGTACTCAATATCTCTTTAAGATTCGTGTCAAATGTGCTGGTAAAAATAACATGTTAAAATGAAAAGTCCTGTTTAACTACATTACATGCATCAACGAAAAGCAAGATTACTCTTTGAAACTGTGATGAAAAATACAATCAACTCTTCTCCTTGTAACTAAATATCATTTTTGCTAGACTAAGTTTTATCTTTTGCTTGGGGAATACAATTAAAACGAAGATTCCTCTTTTTAAATACAAAAGAAAATTTTAAGGGCCGATCACGTTTCACTTTAATGATGGAAACCAATAGTAGTATACTACTACCAATGACTGAACAAACATATAAAAGAAAAAGATATATATCGAAACAAAGCGTGTACATTTTCTTAAAAAGCATCCATTCAGTATATTGATCATTGACGCGTTGTTGTTCCTCGTTCATGACAAATTACTTCAAAAGAAACACAGATATCTTAAATATTTTGTGTGTTTAGACTGACATTGCCACAATCTCAATTTTATCATTACTTATTATAACTGGCATTTGTGAACATCTGAAAACGAAGAACAGAGATATCTTGCATAATATACCCGCAGGAAAATAACTATAGTAATAACCCAGCAGGCACATCAACGTTGTTTCAACGTTGAATTATGGTCAGATTTCAACGTTGAAATAAGGTTGGATTTATATTCGGATTTGAAAGTTGAAACAACGTTGAAATTTCAACGTTGATACAACGTTGCAGCTTCAACGTTGGTACAACGTTGACGTTTCAATGTCATTTCAACGTTGAAAACCCACCATACTTTAATTTTTGGATATAAAGCAAAGTTACCGAGTTTAACATAATATCAAGACAATATTAAATACTTCAGATATTTTATTTAAAAAATACAGTTCAAGTGCAGCTTAAATTCACTTTAATAGTTTTACAATTAAGCTACAATCTGTGCCCATCTTTTCTTCTAGATCTTTCTGGGTATGTCAGGTGTTTGAGTACTTCTTTGGCTGTCTATTACTGCTTCTGCAAATAAAAATAAGAAGTTGTTGACTTGGTCAATCTCAAACTATACATATAAATACTCAACTTATTGATTTGTTTTTTCTCTTAAAATGCTTTTCTCTAAGATTTACATCATAAAACAGCATAGAAATTGAAACATAGCCAAGTTTCATATTGACAGCAAATACTGTATATAAGACAACAAAATCTTTTTAAAAAGAAGCTATTTAAAAGTCTCACCTATGATTGGTAAGAAAAACTGCTCCCCGTCAGTAGCTTGCAGCATATTCCCAAAAAATTAACATTCTAGGCTCTAGCTAAGACCATTCTATGCAGCATCCTGAAATCAACAAACATGTAAATTTTATATTAATAATGTTACAGGAATATTCAGAAAATAATATATTTTAAGACAAGATAAATATCCAGTAGTTGAAAAATTTATACTTTGTATTGTAAATAAATTCAAATATATAAATTAATAAGAATTAATTTCAATTTAACAAACCTGACAGTCCTTTTCATGTTGAGTGTATGGTATACAGACTACAGCTGCAATACTCTAAATTTCAGCCAGGACCAGGATCTAGAATATAAAATAATATATTATAAAATAGAAATAGATTTATCATTCCCTATAAATTCAACTTTAAAGTTTAACACTCAACTTTGTTATTTAACTTAATAATAATGTATTTTTTTCAAACTAATTAACACTGTATTATACTATCACTAAAACATAGACATAGTTATATATATTGTCTTGGGATGTAAATTATATGGGCCGAACTACTTAATAGGTTTCAGTTTTATAATTGATTAAATTCTAATTAGGATATAGTACAGACAAATGTTTAATAATATGAAAAATAAATTAAAGAAAGACAAGATTTGTAAAATCATAAATTGCCAAGGACATCAATAACTTCGTGTTTACAATCAAGGCCTACTGTACCGAACACAAATCATTCAATTAGGTCGCGAAAACGTGTCAAATCAACTCAATCACGTGTTTTCATCTCTCTTTTATTTCATAAATTAAATTAAAGTAGAATTTTAAGAATAAATAATAATATTTTAGAAAATAATCAGTAAACAAAAGTAAAACATTACGGTAATACCTTCGAAATCCAAATAAATTGCCAATCGTGTTGTTTTCAAATTTTCCAAACAGCGCCACCATTTGCACGAACGATAATCATAGACCAACAAACAAGATCATAGACCGCAATAATTACTTCCCCTGACCAGCGTTATTTTATAAACGGGGTTTTGACTAATATCAATTTATTAATTAATATTATTCATAAAGAACTAAAAAATAAAACAACAAACAACAAAACATATTAACTAACATTTAAAGCGTTAATATAAAGTGAAAAATTATTTCCAACTTTATTTGTTTAAGCGCTAATTTTGAATATACGGAAAAAGATTGTAATTAACGCAAATTTTCCTGACAAAATCACTTACAGACTTATTCAATAAAGGAATATTAAATAACACAAAATTAGTGGTATAAAGGTTTATATAATGATTAAACTAAATGTAAAACTTCGACCATAAACAACGTTGAATCAACGTCGTATATACATTGGCAATATATCCGTATGTCCGTCCATAGTTGAATATTGGTTGAACAACGTCACGACCATTTTTCAACGTTGTTTCAACGTTGAAACAACGTCGAGTGCCTGCTGGGAAAACATATTCAATCCAGATTAGTAAAAATAAAGAACGAGCCAACCGCTCAAACACTGTTTGATTCCGTTTAAGGTTCGTTTCATGTATTACTTTGGAAGGTCTTCTCTACATAAACGTAAGACAGAAAGCCCTAGGCCAAGCATAACGTCTCGGGATATTCGCGTGGCATGGTCGTTGTTTGGACCGGCGACTTTTCTGAAACATTCGAAAGCAACATCATGGTGACAAAATCCTTCTGAAACTGAGATCTTTATAATTTAGAATGATCAAAACAACGTTATGACAATGAGATTTGGTAGAAGTTAGAAGGTTTTTACAGAAATACAAGACCTAAAGCCCTAACCAAAGAAAAATGTCCGAGAGGTTCGCGTGGTATGGCCATTTTGGAACGGCGATTCGCGTTTTTTTTCCTGTATATAAAGTATATAAATTTACGTAAAAAGCACCATTTTCACGAGCCAATCGTTAAAACACCATTTGTTTGAATCCGTTGCTGATTCGATTTATATTATCATATATCACTCGTATTAAAACAATATAGTTAATTTCTACAGGATTGTGTTGCTACAAACATTTTCAGCTGGATCTCACGTATAATATGCATGCATTTAATTTAACAAATTGATTAGGAATCTACATAGTTACGAAAGGAAAAGGCAGTAACTAATCAAGACAGAGCATTACACCATAAGGCTTCTTTATTTCTAATAACATGAGTTCCATTAGTCTTTTCAAGTTTCAAATTTAACTTTTTTTCAGTCCCAAACTGATACAATATTGTCATATTTACAGATAATTATTTGTTCTGTGACGCACAAAACATCACCAAGATAATATTCTCTTTTGATCAAACCTCGACTGTACTACAATAAAATTCAGCTTCAACACTGTCAGAAGCACATACATGACCAAAAAAACGACTAGTCTTATGTTATTCATAACTAAAATAATCACTCAATTTTGAACCACCAACACTTCTATCTATTATGTAGTTGGTGTAAGTAAATGTGTGTCAGTCCATGTGATATTTTGGGACAGGTTATGTGTATTTTTCGAATCAGTTTGTTTTGTTTCGTATAGCTATATGTAATGAAAAGTGTTGCCTTATAACAAACACTACTGGCTATAATTCAATCAGATTTGAGTTTGCAAAAAGGTTTTTGACTTTCTTCTTAACTTTAGTTGACTCTCAATATAGATAACATTATGATTCAAAATGAGTCATGTTAATTAGTTCGTCAGTCTTTAGTGTCTAGTGTCTTATCAGTAGAATTAAAGATAACAGATGAGAAAGGCTTAATTTCATACTAAACAAAACTATTGTTATTCATTGTGGTGTTTTCTTTTGTTTACAATTGTTTTTATGTGAAGTGGACAATGGCGGTATTTCTATTGCTCGCGTTCCTAAGTGGAGTTTGTAAGTCTTTTGAATAATCATGATAATAATAATAAATGATTTTTAAAAGAAGAACACACAACACACTGTAGTACATAATTGAATAAATTGAATGTTTTGTAATATGTGCTCGTATAAGAACCTTTTACTTCACACTTTGAAATGTATATCGGTGTTTTAAAGCACTAGTAAGACGGACAAGAGGATGATACTGCAAAAAAGCCCCTAGACTCGTTTGAACAAATTAATATTTAAAAAGTAACCCTTAGATGATTAGAGGGCATTCTTTTAAATTTTGTCATGACCTAATACCTTAATAAGAAACAACAGAATTAACTTTTTCAAAACGACACATAATTGGATCATCGCCCTGTATTTATACATGCATTATATAAATACTTATATCATTTGACATCATTTAATGCTATGCAAATAAGCTGTGTGTAAAAACGAAATTTCTTGCATTGCAAGTAATAATACATTATTCAATTAACCAGATCATGATTTTCTGAAAAAAAATATAATGCTATTTCAGGGAGTTGCCAAAATGGTTGGTTACAACACGACTCGAATTGCTATCACTTTAGCCATGACCTGGAAGACTGGACCGGTGCCGCTGTAACAACATTCTACTCGTTTATTTAAGCATTTGATTTATATTGCACCTTCACAATGATGACAGTGTCGTTATTTGTATGCAGTGTGTTTCGAAATGGCCGTGTGTAGTTTTGATCCTACCCTTTTTTGTTATGGTTAAGCACATAAGTACCTTTGCAACTATTAGAGCAATCTTCAACATGCGTTCTAAAGCGTGTTACTTTGTTCACTTATATGCTTGTGGTCGCTTATTTATATTCTATCCTCTTTGAAATATTTCTAATGCATTTGCATCTTTCTGTTTTAAACTGAAAGTGTTCTTTAAATCTGTTTGTGTATATACCTGACTCTTTATATTCCAAAATAATTTTATCAGCTAGTGAAATGTTTTCTGTGTAAGCGGTAAAACGCTGCGTATTTTGTCTCTAAGTAATATACTGTGTAGTCAATTTCAATTATTTTGTCCAGGGCATATTTTTTTGCGTTTGTATATATTCACTTTATTTCAAGTGTGTAATTGACTTAATAATTATTTTCTCAAAGCTTTGAATATTTAACATAATGTACGAGCCATTTGCAACGTAATTAAATGACGTATGCCAGTTAATAACCATGTGACTGACGTACATGATAAATATTTACATTAAATCTCTATCTTAACTCTGATACTGTTTTCTTTCTCCTAATGCAGTTTTTAGAGGTCAAAATGCGGCAAGCACGGGTACTCAATTCGTGGTTTTAGATCGACGGCATTTTATAGATTTCTGGGCAATATTGGCATCTTGGCATAAGTCACGGAGTCATGCATTATATTTTAATGAATATCTTGATTAATGGATTTGCTATGAATAAAATGTGCACCAGGTGATTACAAAAGCTGTTGAATAGTACTTGAAAAACTAAAGGGGTTCGAGTTTTAAGAGAATGTTGGTGTGATGGGAGAGGGGCAGCGAGATATTATAAGCACGCATGATGAGGAATAACATATTTGTCATTTTTAAACCGTAAATTACGCTTCATTTGATCAATGAACAAAAATACATTGTTTTCTGTCGTCTGTTACTAATTACTTTGTTTACCTCAATACTCAATATAAACATTCCTAATATCAAGATGGTGCGACCTCATGAATTTATATTTGTTTAAGCACTTCAAAGGTTTGTAACATGTAAAAGAGTAACACTGTATCAATGTCATCAAGCTTAGTGACGTGATGGTGAACATATAGCATCTGTCTAGAAATGTTGTTTTGAAGAAAAAAAACGCGTGTAATTTATGACTTTAAATGGATTCATAGTCAACATCTGCTTAAAGGGTATTTCTTTAAAACCAACGTTGTTGTTTTTTCAAGAAAAGTTCTATTCTTTTATTTCTAAAATCCAACTAATGATACTGGTTTATAAAAATGCATTTTCTTCCGTAGCACTTATTCTATATATTTACAGTACATGTGCAAAACAATGGGTGGTAAACTTGTCGAAATTGAAACAGCAGCAGAGAATTCTTTCTTGAAAGGAGTCGTCGACAATCGTAAACGTATGTAATAAAATATTTATACGTCCATTAAATGATATAGCCTTTCTTGTTAATAATATGTGTAAGGTGTGAGCAATTTGTGTTTGTTTATTGTTTATTTATGCCTTTTTATAATATATGAAATAGAGAAATACAAAATCTCTTAAGAACACCCAAAACAACAAAATTGAACATGTTGCTGGCTCGGTTTGATTGAGTCTGTTCATGGACAGTAGTTATAATTACATGCTGCCATTCACGATCTCTTGCAGCGGCTTAAGCATTATTCAACATTCTAACACGTAATGGTAAAACTTGTAAGAAGTATAACGGAAAAAAGCTAGAAAAAAAAATCACCCACAGTGTTGCTTTACCCTATAAAATGGGCACATGCTCCAGGTATTTAATATAAATAATGATATTTTATTCTAGAACAATTAATTTTATACTTCATAAATATATGTAATATCAGATCATGTATTTTACACTGACAAACATACATCAAAATTGTTTCCACGGTATGTTACCGCGTATGATAATAAATTCTACTCAAATAGTTATTCATACAGACATTCCGACCTATGGACTAATGCACTCAGATACAATGAAAATGCACCTTGAAGAATACCGTATTTTTATCATGTTTTTTCTTTTTTGCTATTGTTTTCCATGTGATAGCTTTTGTTGTTGTTACATTTATTTCATTTTACTAAATAAAAAGCAATGCTGCGTAATAACAATTGGACAAGAAAAAACAACAACAAATACCACCACCCCACCCCTCGGCAAAAAACGTCAACATGAACAAAATAAGAAAATAGCATTGATAAATATGATAATAATTCAATTTCATAATCAATAATGTAATCACAATTAATATAGAAAAGTTATTTAAGATAATTAAATGAATGCTATTAACTCTGCAACGTTGCATGGCAAATTTTATGCTTTATTTTGTTTAATTTTTACATATCTGGTTATAAATAATGCCTTACTCTAACATTTTAGACTCCTATTGGATTGGTCTAAGTGACGTCCAAGAAGAAGGTATTTGGATGTGGATGGACAGCAAGGCAAAGCTAAGTGATACTGGTTTTAGTAGTTGGGTATCCGGAAACCCAAACAATGATGGTGGAAATGAAAACTGTGCGACCATAAACCAAAATACGGGAGGGAGATGGAACGATTGGCAGTGTAGGCAAAGCATTTTCTATATATGCGAAAGTGATATGTAAGTACTATACAATAACAAGTTTCATGTTTAGTTGTTCTAGCGAGTCTCCTAGCTAGAGTGTTCGTTTGCTTAACCTAAAACGTCTCAAACTAATAAGGGACTTGGTAAAAGTATTTAATCGTTAGCCAAAAATAAAAGCAACTCACCATATTACTCGTTTCTAGAAGTCAATGCAAATAATGACTAGACATAAATATATTACGTGACATAATGAATTGTTATTAAGCCCGTTTATATATACAAAATATTCATTTGTTTTCCAAATTTTACCGTACTGTCATAGAGCATGGAAAACATCGAAACCAAATGCGATAATGTCTTTAATGTATTAGTAAATTGAATTGTATTAAAATTTTTGACATAGCTTTACTGTAAGATAAGATCACCACCCCTATTCTTTCAAAAACATTATATTGATTTTTTTCAGAGAAACACAGGTCGTGGGATGACTGTCAATATAAACAGGATGAAATATATTTTAAGAAAAAAAATTGTGTTTTTTTTTCTCTCTAAATAAAGTGCTCTTTTTGATATGTAATCGTTGCATTTTAATTTTTTTATGCATTTTTTGTATGTTTTTAGTGGCGCCTACTACAGACATTAAAGCAATTAATTGATGCTTATTTTAAATACATCTTCCCTGGTAAATATGCATTTATGATTTCCCATTATTTAATTATTTTGATGATTTCATTACTTACTTGCAATTGAAAAAACAATTCTTTGTGCAAAATCAAAACTCAGTGGAGTAAGTCTTCAGTCTATCTTTTATATGTTTCCTTTTAAAATTAATGATAGAAAATTAAAAAACTGATTTTAAACGAATCCAACCTTGTTAATTTTAAACTTAGATTATTCTCTCTCAAGTTCGTATTAATAGATTCGATTGGTCCCTTTTAACATTCTTGTCACTGAACTGGATCTCTAAGCAACTTACAACATAATATATAAAACACCCTTAAATTGCCGTTTATCATGCGTATACGTAGCAACTTGATGGTTTATTGGCTATATCTATTGGCCATAGTAACTATTTTATTTGTTCTGTGACACACAAATTTGAAAGCTTTTATCCCTACCGTCTGAGATAACTTTTAAGATGATTTTTTTATACGAAGGCAGCATATTGAGTCACAACAACGTCAAATTTGACATCATAAAATGTTATAAAATGTTATGTTTATGAAATATATGAAATATATAAAATAATAATTCAGAAAGTTGACCAAATGTCCGGTTTCAACACGACTAGATACTTATTGCAACTTTAGCCATGATCTCATGAGTGGACCGATTCCGCGCTGTAACACCATTTTTACTTGATTTTATAAGAGTTTAGTTTATATGCCACTGCCACAATATTGATGGTGTCGCTCTTTAGATATTATACGTTTTGTTATATCCATGTATTCTTGGTCTTTCTCGTTGTTTGAGTCTATGATTTGTACTCATGTCTACTTTATAGCCGGTTTAACAGTTTTATTCTGTATATATGTAGGCGGTGACAAACTGCTTGATTTGACACTCAGTAATGTACGTGTGTTGTCCCCTTTTTGTGTTGTCGTGCTGTCCCATTTTTGTGTGTGTTGTCGTGTTGTCCCCTTTACGTTTGGTCGCCTTTTTGTGATGTCGTTTTGTTCCATTTTTGTGTTGTTCCCTTTTGTTTTGTCTTTGTGTGATTAGTTGCATTTATTTGCCAGTCTATCGTTTATTGAAATTATATTCAGATATGGATATCTCAATTCCTAGATTTAGTGGATGTAATGGTAGTATTTAATGAATAATAATGAGTATAATATACTACATATACTTCGGTTCACACATAATATATGAAAATAATAATTACTAACAAGTATAATTAATCTGTCATCCATATTTTGTTTTTGTTTGTTTGTTTTATACCTCAGTCGTATATATTCAGTTTATTCCAATCTCGTTTTTAAGGCACACCATTCCTCAGAAGCACAGGTTGTCAAGCATTTAAATGATATATAAATAACATATACTAAGATTTTGAGCAGCAGTAAAAATATAATCCCTAAAACATTTGTTGCTGTTACTCATTAATCTACGTGTTATTTATTTCATTTCCGACACTGTCTCTATAGTTTTTTTTTAATTTTTCGAATTTTGACTGCGAAATGTTTAGTCACATGGTATACTTATATCAAGAGTAAGAATAACTCACATTGGCCTGTGGGAACTTAACATTACAAAATTAGTGAGGGGTAGTATTCACTAAAAAGTCTTGCAAAATGAACTGATAACTTCTGTACATTCCAGAGCAGAGGTGCGTACAGTGCGAAATTTCATGATCAATCACAACAAAAAGAGAAATCAACTCACAAAGGCTTACTATAAGATACCTTTCTATAACTTTAATTTTGATAGTTGAAAAAAAGTGTATCGATGGTTTCGTTTTTGGTATCTCATAGTAAGCCTTTGAGTGTTGAATTATTTTCTTCAGGTTTGTAGCAGGGTTCCGGCGGCAGGGTGGGATTGGGTGTCCAAACACTTGTACTGCCACACTGCAATCTAAATGTACGAACATAAACATACATGTATGTAATTTTAGCGCTCTACGTTCATCAGAAGGGAAATAACTCTTACACGTCCAGTTGTTCATTAAAACTTATTACTTCCCCTACATATTATACATATTCAACATTAATACCTCTTTGATTATCAATTTTAAACAACTTTTCATTTAAATGACATTTCACCTTTCAGTTCAACACTATTGTAGTTTTACTTTCGTTTTATTATATATAATATCATGTATAAAGAAAAAACACAAAACACGTGTCCTTGAAATTCAACAAAACATACATAAAAAATACAATAAAACATAAATGTATTACCTGTATTTAGTATAAATTAATTACAAATATAATCATATAATTTGTATTAAACATGTAATATAAAAAGTGCATAAAAATATAAAAGTTTCATTATTGGGTACACACAGTGCATCATATACATTGTATTTAAAAAACAAAACAATTGTAAGTAAAAATTAAATAACCACCAACTGTTTTGGAGCTTTTGTACGGTTAAGATAACGATATTATAAGTTCACCATTATAAAAATATCATTATATATGTCATAGCATTTTCCATTTTCACATTCTCTTCAATATGATTTTCAAGGAGTTGAAAGTTTTGCTGTTTTCTTTCTAACTAATCGAGCGATTTGTTCATAACTTACGGCCGAATCAACCGTAGAATATGATTCTCCAGCACCGGCTCCACTCGAGGAGGAACCGGAAACACCAGAACTCATAGGTACACTTTCTGCGTATCCACCGAATCCACTTGCATCTAATGCCGGAGGTCCAGCCGCCCTCGATGGATACATTGGTGAATCCAACATGTCTAAACTTCCGGAACTACCTTTAGACATTATTCGTGGATAGGATGCTACTCTCCTTGGCGCAGAATCGCGCTCACTTTTGTAGGCCTTTCTGACACCATCCATCGATGGAAAAGCAGCAAACTTTTTAGCAAGTCCCGAAGCACCTTCCAGAGGTTTATCGTTTCTTAAAAGTTGTTTTGATGTAGCGCCATGCTGTTGTAATTGTTCGTACACTGACTGAGCAATACTGGCTTCATCGACAACACCACCTGCTGCCGTTACCCTGTTGATTTCTTGTTCGACATCGTTTGAGAACTTTTGTAACGAGAGCTCTTCTTGTGCCCCTCCTATGATAGCTTGTATAAGACGCCTGGGATCTGACAACGGGATATATTGACCACCGGTGATGTATGCCAAAGCCATAAAGAAATCCTTATATGGATCTATAGATGGTTCGCATCCAACTGCGTAAATGATGATTTCACGCTTCGCTAAGTCTTGCGCTATTTTCATCGGATCATGACCATTTGGTGACCCTTCTTTAAAAGTGCTATCTTTCCAAGGAGCAAGTCCGTGCGGTGGTGCGTCTGATATAAGAACGGTTATTCTGGCTGCCTCAGGTCTCCAAGATAACTTTGTTACGTCATACAGTCCTTCTGCAACGGCTTCAGGACCGTCACCGCCTCCTGATGCTTGAGCTTTATTAAGCCATTTTTTCATCAATTCGACATCCTTCGTGAAATCATTTGTCCTTGTAACAAACGTTGTTTCCTGTGGCGGATGGTCTCTGTATTCAATGAGAGCTATTCGTAGATCAATATCAGAATTTACTGCAATTTCATCAACAAGACTTCTTATATTATTTCGTGCGCTGTGAATATACGAACCCATACTTCCGGTTGTGTCCATAATGAACGCTAAATCCAGAATATTACTTCCGGCAATTGTTGATATTGTTTTATTTATAGTGATTCCACCTGTCCCGTTTATGGATAATGTTATGTTTCCACTCTTTGTTCCATTTATTAATTCAGTGGTATTTTCGTAAGTAACAGTCGTTCCGTTAATTGGCATTGTGGAATTTTCGCCAAAAGCTGTCGTTCCGTTCTTTAACAACGGACTTGTTTCACTCACAGTTGGTAACTCCCCACCCATCGATAAAATTGAACTATCACCTTTTACTGTTTCTGTGGTAGTTTTCATTGTCGGCGTCGTCGTGAATTTTACGATTCCAGTTGTTCTTTTGATAACCCTTGCATCTCTAACTTCAAACAGAGATAAACAAAACAACGCTAATATCTCTACAACAATATTCATCCAAACAGCCATGATCTCTGTCTTGTAATTTTATGATTTCTTCCAAACGCTGGCTTGTATTTAAAAGAAAACAGAATATGACGTCACATGAAATTCTGCGAATGAATTTCTAGCACTACTTTTCCGGATGTAAGGTAACGAGAATATAATTTGTTTACATCCGTAACGTGTACGAGCTTGATACTAATTGGTACAGGTTACTCAGAAAATAGGTTAGGCGGAGCGAAGATAATGTTGAGGTTTATCACCTCGTGAAACTTTTTTTATTATCTACTTTATATCATTTTCTGTGAAGTAACAAAATTGTTTTCAGCTGTTCTATTTTAATGCGTACATTTTGTAAAAAGAAAACTGAAAAGCGCAATAAAGAAAGAACGAAAATTAATGAAAAAAAATCAGGCAGGTAGTAAAACATAAATTTATTACGTTTTTTATGTTTGTGTATAAGTTTAACTGTATGAAAAGTCTAATGAGTTAATTGTTACGCTATTCTAAGTTTGTGGCAGTTGTATGAATGTGGTGTTAATTTGTTTTGAAGGTGATTGTTGCATTTTTACATTTTTGTCAGTTAAAAAGCTATTCTTACAATGATAAAAAAATTCACCGTCCTCGTTTCGTCATATAAATAATCGCATTCATCGAGGATTTTTAATAGTTATTATCGTTAAATATTTTATTCTTTATATTCAGTTATGATATTCCTTGCTGAAGAATGATATAAGTTGAAAAAGAAGACTAAACATGTATCATTATCGAAGGAAAAAGTAACATTAGATGAAACGGAAAACTTGATATTTTTATCATTTCAAGAAAATGTGAATAAGGCAGTATCTTGAAATACAATACCAAATACTCAATCATTTAAACTGAACTATAGATGGAGAATAATTGGCCTTTAAGATTTTCGTTTGATGATACTCATGCATGAAGATCTTTATATTTTCATCAATTTAATTAGTATACCAAGATAAGTTTATCTTGTCAAAAATTAGTAAAATATGTACTTATGATTCCAGTGTGACTGTGAAAATGAGAACTATTTATGTTTATAATATACTTATACATAAAATATTGAGAAATACAGGCGTATATTTACACTATAAAAACTATAAAAAAATTTCACTGCAGTGTAACATATGCTCCGTATTTTCACTGGTGTCTTGTCGGTCTATTTTCTTTTAGTTCAGCCAATATGCAATATCATACAAGAATTCTTAATAATTGAAAGGTAAATAAAAAGTATATTATCAACAGAAAATTCAATATATTTTTCTATAAATACAGGATTTATAGAAAATCTCGCATATCATCTATATTATGTAAAATCACGATGCACACATCTTAACTAAACGTTTGCTTTGTTCTGTTCAGATTATACTTATGTATATATAAAAACAACACAACTATTAAAGTCAACAATGTTTAAAGAGAACAAGGGGTTTATAAACATCAGAAATTTCAACAATAATTTCAAGGGAAAGCTTACAAGAATCTTAAAGTACAATTTGACCAATCCATGAACTGATGATAGAAATCCATTTAAAAGTAGCAGGGGTCAGTATCTCGAAGCTACCATTGGCATAACGACTGTCGTAGGCCTCTCGTTAAGGTTTTCACTGGTATCAATAAACGAATAATCGTTAAAATGCCCAATTATTAACGGATGCGTAGAAGGTGTCGTATAGCTCTCGTTAATATCACTTTGGCACAAAAGATAGAATACTTCGAATTTAAAATACACAAAAAATGAGAATTATATCAACTTATTGATAAAAATGATGAACCTACCTAGATATGATATTGTATTTCTTCTTCTCACATATCAAACATATGTAAGAGCTCTTTTAGTTGACATAAAAATGTATATTTAAATGCAGATGCATAACTGAAGCATCGAAAGGAATAAACTCTGTAATGTGTAATTTTGCACAAGACAATATAAATAAATATTTGCATGTACATAATGTTAAAAATGTAACAAAATTCGGTATTTTTTACAGAATTATATTTCGAAAAGTTATCTGTGATGTAATTTAATGACTAGAAGAAAAATGCATTACGTTACACTGCAATAATCAGTAATCAGTTCTATTTTTACTTGCTATATTTTAATTTTTAATACATAATCCTTTCTTGGTTGTTTGTAAATATAACCCGAGCCGTCAAGCGAGGTTTATATTGCAAACAACCGTTTATATACGGCCATATAACCTGTCAGGAATATTTATAACGAATTTATAAAGCTTCGAACTTTCTTTTTAAATAGTAAAAGTAAGATTTCCAGCTCGTGAAAATATATGGAAATTTATCATGTTTCGTGAAAAGATTCTATTCACTTAAACGACAAACATCTTAATATTTCTTTAAAACTAAACCCATCATCATTATCATAGTAATAATCATTGTCACTGGTATATCACGATCAGTTTTTTTTAACTTACATAAGAAAAAAAAACATTTCGGTGAGACCATTTGCATATACGAGTACATAATCCATTTATTAAGCGTTTACATTGTATACTCGTAAATTGTCCTTATATGTGTTTAAATAAACAGATTACTAGTATTCAAAATAGATACAATGACGACTGAATGTTCGCTATTTACACATTCATTTAGATATTTGCAATTTCAATATTTCATCTATGAAAGCAACAGTTTCGCGTTTGAATCTTGAGAAAATACCTACACCCTGAAACAACACGTTGCTGTAGCCTGAAAAAATGAGGGAGGGTATTGAGAAGAAGCTCGGCCAGAATATTTACTTTGACTTAGTAAAGTGTTTAAAATATCTGATTTCAACTTGCAAACCTTTGCTGCACAATCGTCTGTCTCTGCTGTTCTATATACAGCCGTTTTCCCTCAGTTACTAGTCTTGCAGTTTCTATTTTAAGTTTTTACCTTTCAATAATTATCACGTCAGTTTCATAGGAACTTTCTGCATTTGCAATTCTTCTTGGTTTACGTTTTGTTACGACCATTTCTTCCTGCTTTAAACACATTGTTCGCGGTATTCAAACGATTACATAATTCAACGAGTTAGGAACGAACGATTGCATAAATATCGCTTTCGAGACCCCCGGTTTTGTCTTCGTTCACAACTTCCCGTAATCGTCCCCACTTCGTAAACGCAAATATAAATAGTTCGAGATACCCCCCAGAAAAAGGGGTGTTTTAAATTTGGGTATGGTTTGAAAAACGGGGGGGGGGGGGGGGGGGGGTGATCTGTTTTAATTAACTTTGTATATTTGAAAAATGAAGAGCAATTTTACTCAAAATAAATATGCATTGATATATATATTTACCTTTATGGGTATTTCATTTTAGACATAAATGATATGGAAAATGTTATATTTATTGAATACATTTGAATATATTTATCATTATCATAATTTTAATGTTAGATTCAAGCTTCATGTATTTATTGAAAGGTCTTCACAGTGAATTTTAATGTCAGATTTGTCAATTTATTCCGCGACTTAAAAAAAATGATTTCAAGATTCGGTAGTCAATTCAGCATAAACATACAGTATGTTCATTGCTATACATATGATATAATGTGCCTGCAATATGACAAGAAAACAAACAAACAAAAACGGACACAAATTTTGAACTCTATTTGGAAAATTGAGAATTGCGGGAAAAATAACTATTTCATACCCCAGATGAAAAAACAAAGAAAATTTAATTATTATTGAGAAATTTTTAAAGAATGTATATGTATTAAAATAGTCAAATCTTAAAATTCGTATCTCGTTAAATGTTCTAAGTTAAATTTTTTGCCAGTTTATACTGTAAATTTAGTATTTTTTGGTTAGATTTTTAAATTTAGTTCAAAATTTTTCGGGACTATAGGCCACGAATACTAACAATTAGGTATAGGTAACGAAATATTATTTTTCTATAAAAAGGATATACTAGTAGATTCCAACTACAAGATGTAACAATATTTACATGACTTAAAGAAAAGACAGTAGACATGAAGATAATTCGATTTCTAAACTGTATTTTGAAACGAAAATTCTTTGGACGACATTTTGAAATATCGAAATATCTTCGACCGATTAGTCGAAATTTGAAGAATTAATAAAAAAGTAAATTATTAACGAAATCTCTAATTAAGAAAACCCTTATATATATGAATTATTTTCAACATAGAAATGATGAGCTCAATTGTTACTCTCATAATATTATGAAAACCTTAGGTATATGTTACATGCAAGATACTGTATCAATACTAGCATTGTTTCAATTAAAAAACTTGTAAAAAAAGTAAAAAAAAAAAAAAAGGATTCACATTAATAAAATATGAACATCTGTGTCAATTATAGGATAAGTTTCTTTTAAAAAGTAAATCCTAAGATGACAAAGAATCCTACAAGAGATTCAAAACATGAATTTCTTTATTTGTAAAGGTGAGCTTATTTCTATAACTTGTAATTTCCATAAACACTAAGTCATGGCTGCCATCGTTTATCCCTGCGTGATCGTAAGAGGTAACTAAGTGGGTTCGAATCCGGAGTCTCTTTTCTCCAGCAGATGAGGTGGTTTTGACCCCTGATATTGCTTCAAGTTTGTAACATCCGAAGTTAGCCAAAATCATCTTGACGCCATATGACCTAAATTTTGTTGATGCGCCGAAAACCAAAACAAAAACAAACTCCGGTTACCTATGTACTCCAACGATAACGCCCACGATCTGTTGAGAAACAAGTAAACAAAAGCCTGAATATACGGTTAGTAGGTTACTACAGACATCTGTAAATAGTTGCTAATGTTTGAACCTTGACCCACATTTCCGAGCCAATAGAATTCGAGGTTCACAAAGTCAAAATAACGTAGATCTAAAAATAGAAACATAACGCAGACTCAGCAGAATAACAAGCACATGTTACGATTGGAAAAAAACAGATGCTTTCCCCACTCAACTAACCAATCGAACACAAGAATAAGCAAACTGCGCGTTCATTGGACTGAACGGAAAACATATTACATTGTAAATAAGTGTTTCTAGCTCTTATTGGATGGTATATGAACAGTCAAAACAAAGCGGTTTTCTGCGTGGGAAATGAAATGTTTTGACGGTATTTTGTCGGATTCATTTCTTGAACTTTTATTATTGAGACTTTAGGTAGTTTTTTTTCTAGTTGTAATAAGCTTATATATCTATTCAAATTTGAACTTTAGAGAAAATAAATCCATGTAAATGAACAAATGCTTTAATACATTATGATTTAAGCTTATTAAAACATTATTTGATAGTTTATATAAACAATGCCCATATAAAACAATTAAATATAAATATTAAAAAATAAAAAAATTATATACAAGATATTTCACAGCTGACATTATTGATTAAACGGGAAGATACACGTACGATGCATAAATAAAATAATTTTATTTTATGTTGTTTATAGTGATTTATTTCACCTCTTACAGGTTTAATGCTAATTTAGAAACGATTAAATGGTAACTAGCTTGTGTAATGGTTGAACGCTCGTACAATTATAGTAAATAAATACTGTACGTTTGTAAAGACGTTATTTTGTAATTTGTAGTTCTTTTCACTGCTGAAAATGCCGTGCGCCATATACTAAGAGTGCGACTTAAAAAAGGGTCGGAGCACCACATTTAATACCGTTTTTCGATATGTACCGGACAGGAATCTCGCCTTTCACACCGATTTATATACGGTAATGAATGAAGAATGTAAGAATCGGCGAAAATGGCGATATTTTTTTTCTACTTTGTGATCATGATTTCTGCAAGCGTCTACAGGTACTGCTCCAACAATGAAGTGAGCTAAATCCTTCGACTGAATTATCATTATATATACTTAATTATCATTATATATACTAAATTATCATTTGGATTTCGGATGAGTTATAAGACTTAATTTCAAGGGCAATGTTACAGAAGTGAAAAGATATTAATAATAAGCCATATATTTTTTTAAAGTATGTTCATATAAACACAGTAGCAAGGTGCATTTATTGTTCCCAGCTTTGTACATGAAATTTATCATTCATTTTAGGTGTTTAGAAATAAAGGACTACAAATGATTGGTTATATACCCTATGTTTTAATATCAATGCGTGTCATGAGCTTAGTTTAAATGGCATAACGTGATAGTGGACGTACAGCCAGATTTTATTGTTTGAATGAAAACAAAAACCTGCTTTGAAAAAAGGACATTTGTAATTTGTCGAGAAGCTATAAATAAATCTACTTAAACTAATAATAAAACACTGTGTCAATTAACGTTTTTATGTTTTTTATTATGTTGCATTTAATAATTTATTATTCGTGTAAGGCATATTTCTTTTTGCAAGCTGACCATAAACAATGAACATTGTTAAGTGTAAAACGAGCAAATAAGATTTAGAATATGATTCTGCTGTGGTTCTTTACGATATTTGGTTTATCCCTTTAAACCGCAACCTTACCCTCTAGAATTATTAAAAATTACCGCATATATGAGAAAGCAATATGGTGTATCTGGGGCACGCTTTCGATTTGGAAATCACGAGTATAACAATTAATACGTTTTTAATTTGTATGTAATTAATATGCTCTTTTCGCTTAATATTCTCTTCTGTTTTGCAATGTACATTATCCTCGTATTTGATAAATTTTACAGTATCGTATAGCAATGTACAATTTAAAACTTATCTTAAAAAACAAATCATTACAATTTGCTTTATATGTCCAGCTAAGCCCATAACAGTCGATTAGATTTTGTTTGCGAGACCTCATATTTACATTATAGATGTAATCCTTGCTAATCTCCTTTTGAATTAACAAATCGTTTGCAAACAAAAGAAGAAATGCAAAAAAATGATTGTGATTGTGTGCAATCAGTTCAATACCTTTGCAATTTTATTTTACAGCTGCATTAAGCAAAAACTTACATGCTACGTACAATTAATGACTGATTTTGCATTATTTATCACCATATTACTACTGCGTTACTAATGCAGTAAGGATTATTTTTTGCATGTTTAACCTATTTTTAGTAATTGCTTTGGTTTTAAATTCCGTTTGCATGATATAAAGTATTATCTTTGTTCACTTCACAATTATTTTCAAATTTTTCATGAAAATTAGAAGGAATCTTTAGGCGTGCTGCTTTAAGAAATATTTACGTTCTTACTGGCATACACATTGATCAAAGGGGAATAACAACAAGATGTATTGACAAATATGGCAACGTTTTGAATTTTATTACAAGTGAAAAACAACACAACAACAATAAAAGAACAATGGATCTATAAAAATAATGAAAAGACATATACTTTTTATATTTGCATTTTTAAAAAAAATGATATCTCAATTATTACATGTTTGTGATCGTAAAATAATGCCAGTTTCTAAGATACACAATTATAGGAAGCTGTAGATACAAGTCAACTAAGTTGAGTAAAAAATAAATGAATGCACATGGTCTAAAATGGGTATATTTTTAACAGTATTAATAATGGCAAAACAAAATGACATCCGGCATTTAATAATTAAAGCAAACAACTACATTCAGTTTACCAATAAACCAATTGATAGTACCCATTATTAAAGTGTAAAAGCTATATTTCTGTTGCAAAAATATTTTTTTCTTCATAATTTGTATTTTGAAAAAAAAAATCAAATGATTGTATAAAAGAAATATATTGTATTATTTCTTTACAGAGAAAATCGTCAGTTCTCATCGTGATAATTTAGCGGACTCGAGCCGTACTAAACGTTTTACCTGATCTAAACTAATGGATTTCTCAACAGCTGCGAACGATTCGTCTGCGGCAGACATTCCTGACCCGGAAGATATTCTAGATGTAGTGTCTGGGCCAGCTGCAGATCCTGATCTCATAATACCAGATATTCTGTCACTTAATGAAACTGAGCCTCCACCACCACTTCCTCCAATTCTTCTTCTAACGCCGAAACTAGGGCGGCGAGGAATAACACTCAATATACCAGAACCTCTACTTGTGCTCCCTGCACCTTTCGTAAAATGTTTCCTAGCTTCCTGTAACGAGGACGTCGTTGCCATAGCCTTAGCTTGAGCAGACGCGCCCTCTAACGGTTTACTGTTTTTAAGAAGTTGTTGAGTTTTAGCGCCTTGCCCTTTTAACCTATTGAATACCGTCTGCGCAATCTGCTGCTCATCTACGGCCGCGCCCCGTGATGCAACTTTCTTTATTTCCGATTGAACATCCGCTGAAAATTTCTTTAGGGAAAGTTCTTCCTTTGCGCCTCCTATCACAGCGTCAGTTAGAAAATGAGGTCTTGACAAAGGAATGTACTGTCCACCTGTCAGAAAAGCTAAAGCCATAAAGAAATCTTTGTAGGGAATGATAGATGGTTCACATCCAACCGTATAAATTGGTATACCTTTTCTAGCCAACTCATGGGCGACTTCGATTGGATCAATAGCTGTTCCGTTTGGAAAAGAATTGTCTTCTGATGGAACCAGACCATGTGGTGGCGCATCAGTTATCAAGATACTGATTTTAGCAGCATTAGGCCTCCATCTCAGATTTTTTGCTTGCGCCAAACCGTCTGCAACCGCTTCCGGTCCATCGCCTCCTCCGTTTGCGCGTGCAGCGTTGAGCCAAGTCTTCATTTCTGACACAGAACTTGTAAATTGATGTGTACGTGTGACAAATGTTCTATCCTCCGGTTTATGGTCCCTGTATTCTATAAATGCTATGCGGAGATCAGTATTTGAGCTTGCAACAATTTCGTTGACGAGATCCTTAATGTGTTGCTTCACATTGTTTATATAAGGTGACATACTTCCGGTGGCGTCCATAATGAACGCTAGATCCATTTCGCTTCTCCCTGACAACGGTGGGTCGACCGGTATTACGATAGGCTTCTTAGTTGATCTAATAGGTTCAGGAAATATCCATGGTAATTCTCTAATTGGCCCACTTGGCAATTCTCGAGGAATAAAACGGTCCGGAAGTCGACGTGATAAATCCAAACGCAAATCTCTAAGGTTTAGCTGAGCTGAAGTAACGCCGATATAATTTAGAAATAGAAGAAAAATACCACGTTGTATAATAGCCATTATGCTTAAAGGTATATTGCTATTGAAACATACTTTATCAGAAATATATTTATATGCACTTGAAACGCTGACGTCAATAACGTGTCCCGGATGTGAACTGTACGTCGAAGCGTAAACAAAAATGCGTATTTCTTATTACAAAATGCTTTGTGTTGTTGTTAATTACCTATTTCTTTCAAAAAACATAAATTCTGTGTCTAGTGTGGTAAAACATGTGCGCATTAATGTATCAAAACAGCCTTCAAAATTAATGACAGTATAAAATACATAAATACATTTAGGTTTAAATGCAAACACTTTTTTGATAAGAATACTTAATTAGTTTGAAAAATACTAAATGTCCTGTTCAAATAACAAGGGGACGCAACCATTTAACTTTTGTTTTGACATTTAATATTTGATATTGAAAATATTTGTATAAATCTATAGTATTGAAAGTAATGTAATTTAGTTATTTACATCACATTACAAAGTGATTAAAATCAGCTCCTACGAAAGATCGGTGGGGACATTTCAGATTCTTGAATTCACGATTTCAATTTCAGGAATTCAAAATTTCATCTTCACGAAGTTAAAGTCGTGAATGCACGATTTTGAAATCGTGAAGTTCAAAACGTGAGTTTATGAAGTAAAATTCGTGAAGCTGGAATCGTGAATTCGTGAAGTTGAAATCGTGAATTCATAAAATTGAAATCTTGAATCCATAAAGTTTAAATCGTGAATTCATCAAGTTGAAATCTTAAATTAATGAAGTTAAAATCGTAAATTTTGTATGCTCAAATCGTTAATTCATGAAGTTGAAATTATTGTGAATTCGTGAACCAAGATGAACCAAAAATTCAAGAAGTTGAAATGTCACCACCGGTCTTTCGTTTTTGCTTAATAAAGCTACGCTACATATCAAATTGTATGTAAATATAATTTTCAAAATCATTTATTTGAATTATTCTCGGACGTTTACCATACTAACTAAGGGGCTACCTTTTATTTATTATTCCCGGGCCTTTGATTTATAATTAAAGGGCTTCAGTTACAAACATCGTGCAAAATGGATATATTAAAAAAGGTACATATCAACATTTTTTTAATTCTTTAGAAATGGTAAACATGACGAGTTTAATAATGCTTTAATAATGGATTTAGAACATGTTTAAACAAATAGAAAATATCATTGTACATGTTGTACGTGCAGTAATTTGTCGAACGTTTTGTAAATAATAAAATTTTAACGCTACAAATGTCAGTTAAAATGGAAAGGTTTAAAAAGGCAACACTTCATACAAAGACATGAAACTAACAATTATTTTTATAGTATAATACAGTAGTGATAAAGTAGTGTAAACATCTTCATCAATCATAATTAACCTTGCCGTTATGACGTTAACGTTAAAACAGGATTTTCCGTTACGTTAAACCGCAACAATATTTTGCAATTATGTTATTTAATTTCTTCTTGGAAGGCCTGAACTTTGTATGTATTAAGAAGGTTATAATACAATTTTAAGTTTTCTTAAGAATATCAAAGTGTCATAATCATATTAAGAATGACGTGTTTCGTTGCACCTTTCATGACTTTATAATAAGAGATTGAAACATACAAAATTTGCATTTTAAATACGGTATAGATATCCAGTTTTTTATCATTATTATTATTATTATTATCATCATTATTATTATTATTGTTATTATTATTATTATTATTATTATTATTATTATTATTATTATTATTATTATTATTATCATCATCATCATTATTATTTTATTATTATTATTATTATTATTATTATTATTATTATTATTATTATTATAATTTTTATTCAAGCAACCATTTCTATATACTTTTGTTTAAAGGCCCACTATGCCTCAGATCATTTTTGTTTAAAAAAATTAATTTGCCATATAGATGAATTTCCTTTGCTTCTTTTGCTCTATTTGCAGTTGGTATAATTATAATGAATTAGTATTCTGTATGGAAGTCAAAATACTACTTTGTTTACATTTTGCTACCTTTACGACACATATTCCACATTCACCGCTACTTTCATCAGCTGTTAAACATCTAACATTCTCTAAATCCATTATTCAAACATTATCTAACACATGTTTGACATTTGTAAAGAATTAGATAAATATGGATTTTTGAGGCATAATGTGCCTTCAAGTTAAATAAGGATCATCTAACAGTTCCTCATTTTATATTAAAAGATCGAATATATATTTTTTTTTCAATAAAAAATCGTGAGAAAAAACTTTAACGTAACAAACACTGTAATACGTAAATTAAACTCTCTTAAATAAATCTATAGAAATAAAACACAATAAATGTATTTATCGGGATTTAAATTATTTCATTTACTGTGTGATGTATTTTTTTTTTCATTTTTTGGGGGGTATGTTTGTTGTTTTTGTTGTTGTTTTTTTTTTGTTTGTTTGTTTATTAATTGTTGACGATTTCAACATATTAATTTATATCTTTAGACTTTTGTCAAAAAAAGGAACAATGTTCACACTATTTGTACCGAGTTTTCTCGGTAATGTCTATATCTGATATTTGAGTTTTTTTTATACCTCTTAAGCAATTTCCTACACAGTGATCTCCCTTTATCAGTACAGAGAAAACATTTTTATCAATATTTTGATATTTATTATTTTTTAGCTTTTGAATTTATTTTTCATTATTTTGTACACTTTTGATAATTTTTTGATAAACTATAACGAACTTAGGTACGAAAAGTTAAAATTAAACAGAAACAGAAAATGACGTAAGATTTTCTATGTAACGGTAGATATTTATATTCGACGTTACGTCATGTGACTTTCATCATCATGTGACGTTGATTACAATCTGCAAAATCACTTTGAGAGGTAAGCCCCTAAAGCTGAAAAGTCTACAAACAAGTTAAGATCTGGGAAGGTTGCTTATGTAGTACAACTTGTTATCAATAAAATTAAAGAAGATAAGATTTCACATCGCTTAGGTTAAGTTCATACAAAGTGTAAAATGTCTCCGCTGACGACAGTACTTCTATCATTGCTACTGCTAGGATTTGCAGCTTGTATGTATATAAAAATAATACTTTTATATTATATCAAAACTCTTTATAATACGTGTTCATACACATAGAGTACATTTGCGCACTGTTATTCTTAAAGTGACTGATTAAGAATGTAATTTTGAAATAGTTGGTAAAATACATATGATACATGCACAATATTATCAAAGTTTATTTACAAAACTTGGACTTTGTCGTAAAAATGATATTAATTTAAGGTATTTTGAATTATTTTATATGAATCTGGAAAAAATGCTATCTGCATCTACAAAGATAGTAGCGAGTTGACACAACTTTATGTATATCTGTCTCTTAAAAGGCGCTTAATTGTAATCTCGACACTGTCGGTTCGATTCCCGTGCTAGCCAACTAAAATTAAGTAACATATAAATGATATTTTCCGTTTTTTCTTTGTACCGATTTGTTCACTTCGATGTTAATTTTTCGTTTAAGTAAAGTCGTATTTTGAAACGGAGCGTGCGAAAACAATTTTTGTAGACTGCTCCTAATGATTTTACGTTTTTCACTACAATCAGATACCAAAAAATGGATGCCGCCAGCAATCAGTCTGAACACTATGGAGAGGTCTGATGACCTCTCCAATCAGTCATTCAAATGAGATTTAAACTCAAGGTCCGTTATAACACTGGTCACCTTAAAGAATAAGGAGAAACTTCTGGAATTGGGGCATCTTTCTGTACCTGTATCTTGCACTATCCTCCAAATTCTAAATAGACTCTCCTGGACGACTAGCCCATATGGGCTATCGGTTGCGTGTATAAAAAAACAACAAATACACACACAAGAGATGTGCCATATTGTTCAGAACTTTTGATGGTCTGTTTAGAAACCATCCGTTTGTCTATATTAAGAAAGATGAAAAATCCATAAGGCGTATATAAGCTTGATCATTAAAATTATAATACACTGTAATGTGTTCCTTAAAACATATAAAAAGTGGCGATAAAGTCGGAATTTTCGATAATTTATGATGACTCTACTAGAAACCTTTCGTATTAAATATCGATTTAGAAAATGTTTATATGACACATTTTTCAGTAAGTCTGTGTAAAATAACCGCTTGCAAGTTGTTTTGTCCTAACAAAATCATAAAATTCAACAACAACAACAATAGTAAAAAACAACAAAAATGTAAAGAATAGAAAATAAAAGGTATAAACAAAACATACACAAAAATACGAGATGGGCCGATTAAGTGATATATAATGTATCAGCACACTTGAAATGAAATCAAAGCGCTGGAAGCACTGGTAGCTTCGCGATTAGCTACAATGAACATAGAAGGGATGGGATTAGCACAGACGCAAAAAGTGCATACATAACAGTGTAAAAATACATATATGTTAACAATCAATCGAGTCAAAGAAAATAATCAAGTAGCATGATTGACAAATTTAAAAACTGAACCAACTTACTACAAATAATGCATCATGTTACAATGTATTGCATGTTTGTATTTTGAAATAGCAAGCAATTGCCCGGATGGGTGGGTACATTTTGGAACATCGTGCTATCATTTCAGCCATGATACAGAATCTATGCCTGTAGCAGATGTAAGTTTTCATTACACAATGAATTATCATATAACATGTTTTCCACAATCTCTCAACAAATTTCTTATCAAACAAAGGAAACATGTAAATATCATATATGTTTGGTCTAATCATCGATTTAAATGGAATTTTGACGCGATGACATGTCGAATGACGTCAATGACGTTAATAAACTACATGACGTCAATTTTGTTATTTCTCCATTCCACGCAGTTAAACTGTTTTCAACAAGTCTTTGTCTTTGACCATACTAGTAGTTGGATTATGGATTGTTTATTGGTTTTTCTGCGTTACCATGTACTAATTCTTGCACTTTTTTATTCATTTGCAAGTTATATTATTATGTCTGAAATCAAAATCTAATTCCTCAATAAAGTCACGTGTTTGTCATTTCAGTAAGATCACTTTATATGCCAGTGTCATATGATTGGCCAAAATTCACTTGTAAATGTCGTCATTTTTCTACATGTATAACAAATAATGGGCTCGATATTATTAGATTGACAGAATGATAGTAAGCCTTTTATGATTGTACTTTATTTCAGTTGGTATGTCAACATTTGGATGGACATCTGGTGGAGATAGAATCAAGTGAAGAAAACACATATCTCGCATCAAAAGCCGCGGCACTAAAAGGTAATTCAATTAAAGGGAAAATGTTAAAGATAAACTATGCTCAACATTGAGTAAAATATTTTTGTTGCAGAAATTCATTGAAATCTATCAAATTCCTGCTGAATATGTCTTATTTATTATTTGAATAAAATAATGTACATACTTTGTATGGGAAGCTGCGTTTCTTATTAAAGGTAAAGTAAATTAAAGTAAATTTGGTCCTTTCTGTAAAAAGCTATTTAAAGTTAAAATTATCTACTTTGTGTGAAGTCAAACATGTTAATTTGATATTTACAAAACATTTTAATTTAATATTTAAAAAAAAAAACAAAAAAAAAAACAAAAAACAAAAAAAGAAAAGAAAAGAAAAAAAAACTGTGTAACAATTATTTATATTTTCAAATATCAAATTTGAGTAGAATCTATCTTTAAGAAACGACATAAATATGCCTTATATTTACTTTCTACCGGGACAAAAGATGACACTTTGAGTCCCAGCTTTCTATAAACATTGAGCATTGTAAATTATCACTCCACATTTTAGGCTATATAAGAGTTTATTACATTATTACAATAATATTGATGTAATAAAAATATTTATTTTACTAGTTTGAAACAATAAATACTATTGGAACATCCTTAAACGCCAATATCTTCCAAGTGATGTCAATACAAACTCATAATGTTGTCTATTTCATGCCTAAAGTATGATGTTGAAATTTTCGCCGTATAATTTGTGAATTTTCCACTTATTTTTTTAAACATTTTGATCACAATTTTGCAGCTAATAATGAAAATATTTTACATAATATTTCTTCTTGCTGTTGCCAATATTGGCAAAGAATAGTGCAACTATTTGCTATAAGACGTATTAAATTCCTAGGTGTTCTAATATCATAAATACATTTTATTTATGTTGTTAAAAGTTATTTACTTTTCATGAATTCACCGAATACTGTTGTTTCTTTAATATCAGTTTGAAATAATTTGTTTCGAAGGCTGTTTTTATTTACCCCTAAAGCATCATTTTGGACTGGTTTAAGCGATATGCAACAAGAATCAGTCTGGTTATGGTACGACAGTGGACGTCATCTAACGTCAACGAGTTTTCAACACTGGTTTCCAAACGAACCTAACAATGCAGGAATGGACGAAAACTGTGCATATATATCCTCTGGTAGTTGGAATGATGCACCATGTCACTTGGCACTCCATTATATTTGTGAAAAGGATGACGGGTGTGTGTTGTTGTTGTTTTCTTCTTCTAAGTCTACCTTTTTACGAGGGTCTAATGTTTCGTTTACCAAAACATCAACAAGCTAAGGGGAGGAGATGGTTCACACGTTATTTTAATTATTAATTAATTTAATTACTTGAATAAAACATTGTAACAACATAATCAGATGTAATGTAACTAAATGTTATCATTTTTTCTTTTTATCTTAGCTATCTATCCTACCAAATTAACTTTTTTCATTATATTCATCTTATCCATCAATCGTATCCAACTTATACAATATATCCGACTTATCCGTTGGACTGAAAGCATAGTATTTGATTAATCATGACAAAATTTCGTTAATACAATGAGATGATATGCTTTGTGTCTAAACTGCTAAATACTTCTATTTGGGCCTTTATTTCTTGTCAAAAATCTACAATGAAACCATTTCAATTGCACTCTTCTAAATGGCGGACTTACTAACAAGGGAAATAACTAATAAATCATGATGATGTGGATAATAACGTTGGTGGTTATTGCTATAAGTGGGGATGACGACGACGATAATTATGTTGAATGTTGATTATAACGACAACGACGATGATGATGACGACGACAACGACTATATAGCTAATGACGACAAAGATAATGATAATGGTGACGAAGATAATGATGATGACAACAATAATGATGACGACATCGATAATAATAATAATGATGATAACGACGATTGTAATGCTGATAATAATTATGACGACAATATTGATGACGACGACGATAATGATTATGGCGACGAAGCTAATAATGATGACGGCGACGATAATAATGACGAGTCCGACGAATGAGATGTTGATGACGAAGACATTGGTGATGTTTATGATGACGACAACTATAATAATAGTGATGATAACCGCAACTATAATGCTGTTGATGATAAAAGGAGAATAATGGTGACGATTCAGACATCGACGATGATGATTATGATGATAACAACGTTAATGAAGGACATCTTTTGTTTAACGATAACTTTCAAATATTTCCTAGCACATTAATAACATTTTGATATATATACAATAAAGTAATTATAAATGAATTTAAATGTGGAAATTGACTTAAAACATTTGACTAGGGCAGAATATTCCCGAGCCTTTCCCGTGCAATATATCAATTTCTCTTGTAATGATCCTCAAGCCATATACCTGAACTGCCACGTAATGCCATTACGGTTAAAAGGCATTCGTATACGATAGGTGTTTTCGTTTGGGTAAATATTATACGAGCAGTATACAAGTATACGTTTATAGCTTTATATGAACATGTTTATATAATAACAGAAACTATTTCGAAAATAAGCATGGTGCACTGTTACTTGAATCATATCAATATATCAATTACAAATTAGTTCTTTTAGTGGTAATGACTGAATGTTTTTAATTAATTAATTGTAACTACAGCAAATTAACAAAAAAACTAAATATTATTGTCTTTTTTTCCAGCTCATCGGAAATAGTCGGGTGAATGTAATATTTGAATATATGTAATATATGAAATAAAAAGTAGAATGAATGCTTTGTTGTTCAGTTGTATGAAGTACATGTATACATTTTAGAATAGCACAACAAATAATATTGACCGTGCAATATGTGAATTAAACACACTGTTTATCAAAGCATTCGCTGCAGTAAGTCTTTGTACTATTTTTTATTGTTCAATGAGAAGGCGAACATTTGGAAATTTGAGATTATCTATCTTCCATAGGTGTCGGCCCACTCATTTCTCGCTCTCGAATTCTGTAGTAAATCAATCATATTTGAAGGCCATCTAGTCTGCTGGCGTGTAGTTCATATTTAGTCCTTTTGTCGAGAAATGAGATCCTGAAAAGTCCCGGTAAGCTCAATGGTAAGTTGTTTTTTGTTTTTGTTTGTTTTTTTAATTTACTAGTATATATTTTTATAAAGTACAAAATTGCATGGAAACAATATTAAATGAAGTTACAGTATAGCATTGAAAGATTTTTTTTTCAATTCTTTAAGAATCACCTTTAGGCTGGCCGTGTGTCTGAAACCGGACAATGGACAGCCGAGATGACAAATAAAATCAGCGAAGGATTTCTGCAAATAATAACCGCTTAGTATTTCCGACATTTTCCACCTCATGTTTGTTTTCGACATTAAGTATTGAAAAAAAGTATAATTTTAAGTTTATACCGTTTAGGTCATTCTGTATCTGATTAAAAATATTATTATTTTTTCTTAAACTTTATCAAAATACAATAAATTTTTTAATACGACTTTGTTATTCTGTACAATTGATGACTTTAAACCACTTGCCCTATCAGCTCTGTGGGTTCGAATCCTGCCCCTGGGACTTAAGATTTTTTCTTGAGAGAAAGCTATCCGCTTACATATTACAAAATATCGTAGGTTCTACGCAGGTATCCGTTCCTCCATCAGATAAAACTCGCCATATAACATTTACACAGTAGTGCGTGAGGACATCTAACTCGACTAAACCATTAAGATGGTGTCAGTCCGACTAGCTAACAATCTGTTAGAGCGCGAAGAACTTGTAATCTCGACATTGTGGGATTCGATTCTCGGGCTTACCAACTAAAATTACAAAGCAGTCTGTTGGATGAGACTTTTAAATCGAGGTCCCGTGTATGAGTGTTTAAACATTTGGCACGTTAAAGGACCAGGAGGAATGTTCCTGGAAATTTGGGGCATATGTCTGTAATTTGTAATCTTGGCACTATCCTCCAAAATATAAATATCTTACATCTTCTGGAGGACTCGCCAATATGGTGACCGGTGGCGAGTATAAATAAACTCAAATACACACACATTAAAAAATGATTTGCAGTGGTCGTGTGTGAAAGTGACGATAAACGCGTTTTCAAAGAGAATCAACAATTGTTTCTGACATGAAGACATCGGAAAAGTGATTTGTATCAGTTTGATGTCAGTCTGAACCAATAACGTGTGTGCAAATTTTCAGATCATTCGCCTTCGTAGTTTTTTTCCATGTAATGATTTACATGAATTAAAGTGAACCAAAACTGAAAAGCGTTTTAACGCCTTTAACTCAATCCGTTAAAGGTACTCCACTGAGGTACGGCCGATGTCACAAAAAAAGTAAAATTTCACAAAACCGATAATTTTTTGTTTACCTGCGTGTTAGGGACATTGAAACAGAATCAGTGATACATTGATATGTGTTCTTTGGATTGGCAAATCGTTTTGAAATACACATTTTCTCCAATTTTTGTGGGAAAAGCGTTTAAACACCTTTCAGTTTGCAAATCTGAATAAAAACAAACGGTCACGTGATGATTCTCGGGATGACTAAAAAAGCGAAGCGGAGAATTTTTTGTGTATCGACAGCAACGAAAGTGCCGGAAAGTGGAATATACCAAACAATCCATAAATTTAAAAGCAAATTATGGGTTTGTTTGTTAAATTTCTTGTTGTTCACATATGTTCTTGTGAGAAAAAAATTCTTTCAAAAGCAATTTCAATATATTTAAAAGCATTGCATTGTTGTAATCATGTTTTTTTCTCCATTACAATGATGAATTAGATAAAGTACGGAGTTGGAAACTGACATACACAAATTTTACAAAATATTCTATGTTAATTTGAGAGCTTTTCGTGTAATTCTTAGATATTGTGTATTAACTTTGTAATGGTTAAAATATCATAATATCTAGGCTAAGAAATTTATTTGTAATAGTGAAAAGGGCCCTATTTAAAGGTATTTTTTTTATTGTATTTTAAAAAAAAAAATTGTAATATTTTAAAAAAAGAAATGAATTGAGTTTTGTAAGATAAAAAAAAGAATAGAATGTTTTCTAGAGATTTTTTGTTTAATCTGATAAAGATGAAAGATGGTAAATAGGAATGAAAGGTTTATAGGAATTTAGGTTAATTTTAAAAGTTTATATTTTAATGTATGTCTATTGATATAATTAAAATTTATAAAAAAAAATGATTTTTGAAGAAAAAGATCTGAATTTAAATTATAATTTTAATAATATTGCATATTTATGGATTGGATGTAAATTTGTTGATAGAAGTTTATCGTTTTTGATTAGAATTAAAATAAGGTAATTGATACCCTGTTTATCCCAAATGGTAAACATTATCAAGAAGGTGGAAAAGAGTTAAATTGGTTTTTAATATTTTTATTATTTATTATTGATTTAGCAGATCCCCTGAAGATTTTTTTTTATTGGAAGGTTTGTTTATGATGGGTAAATTGAGTGTGTAAAATTTTTTAAATATTGAAGCCCCCGGGGGAAAAGAAATGTAGAGGTTTTAATAGAAAAAAAGGGAAAAAGGGAATAAAGAAAACAAGGGAGGAAGTTAAGAAGGGCCCCGAAAAGTAAGTTTAAGCGGGTTATTGGTGATAGTAAAATTAAATTAAAATGATTATATAGTTGTTGTTTTTAAAAAATAAATTTTTAAAATTAAAAAAAAAAAAAATAATGATATTGAAGAAAATGTGAAGGGAGGTAAGTAAAGGTAATTTAAGAATTCATAAAATATTATTAATAATAAAAAAATTATTAAAAATATTTTTTTAAAATACTTAAAAAACCCCTAGAGGATAAAACCCGGGGGAAAGGGAATAAAATTATTTAACATTGTTTTACCCCTTTAGTGTTTTATAGGGAATATTTGTTAATATTTTTGAAAAATTTTTGATAAAAAAAGGTGGGTTATTTGATTTTTGGAAAAAAGAGTGATGGTTTAAAAAATGAAGGTTTTAAATATTGATTGGTGATTTTTTGATAAATAAGTTGGGAAAAGGAAACTGTTTTTTCCTTTATAGATAAAATTATTTTTTATTTTGTTCTTTTTTTTTGTTTTCATTTTTTGTTTAGTTTTTATTTCCCATTGAAAGCCTAAAATTTAATTTTTTATTGATAATTTAGTGGGGTTTTTTGTGATGTTGGTGTGTAGTTTTTGATTTTTGAATGTTATATTCCTTTTTGTATTTTGATGAAGAAGGAAATAAAAAGTAAAGTAATTTGAAAAGCGGTTTAAATTTAAAACAAGAAATGTTTAAAAAAGTGAAAATAGCGTTTTTAAAAGAAAAAATATTTATTTTGTTATAAGAACCCAAAAATTAAAGTTTAAATTTTAAAAAGTAGTTTGGGTTTATAAAATTGTCAATGAATGATATTCAAAATTAAGGGGATGAATATCATTTTAATAATGAAAATGTATTTTAAGGAGTAAAAGAGGTATTTCACAAAAAAATTGATGTGAGTAGTGGAAATAATAAGTCGGTTTTTGGGAGAAATTTTTGTTAAAAATTACTTAATAATGTTAAAAAAGGTTTTTTGAAAAAAAAATAAAAATTAAAAAGGGATTAAAAGAAATGAATGAAAAATCAAAATTTTAGTATTATTGTTTTTTATTGGGAAAATTGTATATATTTCTGTGGTGGGGGGTAAGCGTTGTTTAGTGTGTTGGGGTTTTAAAAAAAATTAAGGAAATTTTTTTTTTATAAAGTTTTTTTTTAAGGAAATAAGAGATATGAAAAGGGTAAAAGTTGGTTAAAAAAAATAAAATAAATTTTTTTTGATGCAACTCTAGTCATGCAAAATTCCATATGTATCAAACTCTGGTACCAAGCAAGAAGAATTATAGTACATAAATATAAACTTATACAGGAAAATAATACAGTTATACAGTGCGATTTAGATTGCAAAGATCAGAAAATACCACAGAGCTTACAGCCTTTTGATTTATCTTGTTTTTCGTATGTATGTTCTGGAGATTAGGTGGGTTGTTCTCGTAATACTTTAAGATTTATAAGATTGTGTATTAAAAGCTTTTGTTAATTGTTTCGGAAATACTGGATATCGTTTTGAAAATTTATAGAGCTACTAAAGTATTTTAAACCCATGAACGAAACATTTCACAGTAAGTATTTCGGTTATAGTGATTATACCGTAATCAAACGTTAAAGGTCTCCTAAGAAATGTACTTTGGAATTAAATACTAAGTGTAAGCACTAGAACATAAACCACAAGATTGCTTGCAAAATCTTTATCGTCAGGAAAAAATGGTTCACAAAACATGATTTTTCACAGTCATGATCAAATGAACAGACTGTCATTTTCTTCCTGTTACCGAAAGATACGAACAGACTGTCATTTTTAACATGTTACCGAAAAATACACACAAGGAAGATTTCAAATAGAAGACACGTCACTGACAGAATGTTCTTAATATTTGAATAGAAAACAATTTGCTAAAGCCAATTTATGAAAGAAAAATCTGGGATGCCACTTATAAAATTATTTGCCCATAAAAGAGGGTTTATTTTACTCGTTTAGATTATTTTCAAGAACAAAGTCTCAAAAAGCAAAGATTAGCTGATATCAAAATGTAAACCGCGACATATAAAACTTATTTACCTGTGAAACTAGAGTGAAAATGTGTTAGTTTATCAGGTTTTGTCTTCAGTGCCTTCAGCACTTTGATCTTATATGTAGTACAAGAAAACTATATCGTTTTCACCGAAAAATTATCAAATTCTAAACAAGTTTCTAA